GTACCTCTGGTAGAATTTGACTGTGAATCTGTCTGGTCCTGGACTTCTTTTGGTTGGTAGGCTATCAATTATTGCCTCAATTTCAGAACCTGTTATTGGTCTATTCAGAAATTCAACTTCTTCCTGGTTTAGTCTTGGGAGGGTGTATGCGTCCAAGAATTTATCCATTTCTTCCAGATTTTCTAGTTTATTTGCATAAAGGCATCTATAGTATTCTCTGATGGTAGTTTGTATTTCTGTGGGATTGGTGGTAATATCCCCTTTATCATTTTTTATTGTATCTATTTGATCCTTCTCTCTTTTCTTATTAGTCTGGCTAGTGGTCTCGGTCTATGTATTTTGTTGATCTTTTCAAAAAACCAGCTCCCGGATTCATTGATTTTTTGAAGGGTTTTTTGCGTTTCTGTCTCCTTCAGTTCTGCTCTGATCTTAGTTATTTCTTGCCTACTGCTAGCTTTTGAATTTGTTTGCTCTTGCTTCTCTAGTTCTTTTAATTGTGATGTTAGGGTGTCGATTTTAGATCTTTCCTGCTTTCTCTTGTGGGCATTTAGTGCTATAAATTTCCCTCTTTACACTGCTTTAAATGTGTCCCGGAGATTGTGGTACATTGTGTCTTTGTTCTCTTTGGTTTCAAAGAGCATCTTTATTTCTGCCTTCATTTTGTTATTTACCCAATAGTCATTCAGGAGCAGGTTGTTCAGTTTCCACGTGGTTGTGAGGTTTTCAGTGAGTTTCTTAATCTTGAATTCTAATTTGATTACACTGTGGTCTGAGAGACAGTTTGTTGTGATTTCTGTTCTTTTACATTTGCTGAGGAGTGTTTTACTTCCAATTATGAGGTCAATTTCAGAATAAGTGTGATGTGGTGCTGAGAAGAATGTATATTCTGTTGGTTTGGGGTGGAGAGTTCTGTAGTTGTCTATTAGGTCCACTTGAAGATCAGACTTTTTAATGTTCTCGGTATAGTATAACTTGATTCAACTGGACCAAAAGGCACCTGCCTTTAAATTCTGCCTTCTAGATATAAATGAGTGCATGTCTTTCTCTATCCTGTGTTCTAAAGTTCCCTCTCTTTCTCTCACCCCCTCCCTTACCCTTCTCACTTTCTCTCTCTCAATGTAAGGTTAGAATTCAGTGTTTCGGAAAGTGCATCAAAATCGCTTTGGGATTCCTGTTACAATGCACATTCCTGCTCACACTCCAGAATTCGGAGAGGGAGCCATGCTGCTGTTCTTGAGGTAGCCAAACAGAGGGAACTTTGGCTCTTCCTTCCCCTTTATTTTGGTGGTTTTTTAAGGTCAACGATATTAGCTGCTAGCTCAGCTAATTTGGTCCTCCACCAAATTTGCTCTGAAGAGTTTAGTGTCAACTTCCACCTTGAGCTCTTGAAGGGAAAAAGGATTGAGCCCATGGGTATTATTAATAGTGGTAACGATTAAGAAGGGATTCTGGCATGTTTTCAGGACCGACAACAATAACTCTGGAATAATGTGGTGATATAAGATTACAGCATCATGACATTTCCATGGTAATGCAGTTTTAAACCTTACTGGTGATATATTGCCTAGGGTAATTGAAGCAACAACTTTAACCTAGGGACACACTATATCTATGTAATCCAATAACAGGATATATTTGAGTGAGGGGAAAACATCTTATATATAGGCCATTCAAGTATGGCTTAGGTGATAAAAGAGTAGGGAAAATGTTGAAATTACTTAAGACTCTATTGTTGCATATAAGACAAACATATATAAGGAAGAACGTTTTCACTGGCAGTAGTTTTAAGTTATGTTTTCAACATGTGGGCCACAAAAGGAAGATGATGATAGACGTTTGTTTTTCTGGGTGTGAGAATATGTGTAAGCAGATATCTTAATAATGTCCTTATGTATTTCTGTTGCTTTTATTTTCTTGTCATCTTCAGTGCTTATTTTGTATATAGTGACCTACAGTATTTACATTTTCTGAAACATCCTGATTTAGGACAGGCCAAGCTATCATGCCTGAACACTGGTTTCAGCTTATCAGAAATTTTGGTTCTGCTAAGGATTAGGTCCCAAAACATTAGCCCTAATTCATTAGCCTAATATGCCTGGGCCCTGTATAGGTACTTTGCATGTATTATCTTAGTCATCGTGATAATCCACTAAAATTGATATTATTGTACCATTTTTCAGATAAGCAAATTTATCTTAAAAATGTCAGATGACTTGCCCAAATCATACAGCTAGACAATGATGAAGCTATAATTAAAACAAGATCTGCTTAGCTCCAAAGCCTGGGCAGCTTGTAACCATTCCTCTAGTTTCAGAGACTAAAAACTTCGGGCTCTATCCTCTACCTTGACCAAGGTCAACTGTATATAACATTTTTCTTTATTTGTAAAGATGACATAATTGACAATGTACTAAAGCAGCTAAGAACAGGATGTGACATGTCACAGGGACAGTATATTTGTGCAAGAATAAAAAGGCAGAGGATAAACAAGCTTTACCAACAATCCTTGTTACCAAACGACCTTCATCCTATATTTCCTATGTTGCAGGCACTTGGCAGGACTCCAATTACAAAATGCAAAGGAACAAAATAAACACCAATATTGCACAATGCTCCTTGGCATACAAAAGAAGAGTAGACATTGTGTGTTGTAGTGAGCCTCGTTGCATAATGGCAATTACTGTTAAAATTACATTTTTTGGCTACCTTCTATACAGAGTTAGTAGCAGATTCCTAAATGGAAATCTGCTAAATGGTGATGATGCTGCCCTCTAATCTCTTTAGTATTTGATGATCCCATCTAACTTTGACAGTTTAAAATGTCTCTTCTTTTTATAATTTTTTTTTTTTTTTTGAGACGGAGTCTCGCTCTGTTGCCCAGGCTGGAGTGCAGTGGCGCAATCTCGGCTCACTGCAAGCTCCGCCTCCCGGGTTCATGTCATTCTCCTGCCTCAGCCTCCCGAGTAGCTGGGACTACAGATGCCCACCACCACGCCCGGCTAATTTTTTGTATTTTTAGTAGAGATGGGGTTTCACCGTGTTAGCCAGGATGGTCTTGATCTCCTGACCTCATGATCTGTCCGCCTTGGCCTCCCAAAGTGCTGGGATTACAGGCGTGAACCACCGCGCCCGGCCTGTCTCTTCTTTTTAATATTCCTTCAATTTAATATTTAATATTCCTTAATATAGAACCTATAGACTAAGACACCTCAAGTAGCCCTTGATGAGTTACTGTATTATATTACACAATACATAAGCTTGATCTGCTCTGACCAGAATGTAAACCCCTTGTTTTGTACGTACGAAACGTAAGCTTAACCAGCTCACAAGCTCCTTCAGGGCCAGAAACCATGTACAGCTTCCACATATTTTTATTGATTGATTGACTTTTTGCCTTTTAAATTTGAGTTTTAGAATTTAAAATTCAGAAAGTCGTGGCAGAGATAAGAGAAGGAGCGTCTGAATGCTGAGAAGAGTTTGGCTAGAGATGGTTGGAGAAGAGAGAGGCTGCTGGATGGTCAAACTCCAGGAGATGATCATCTTCCCACTGCATCCCACCTCCACCCTCAAAAAAACCTGCACAATCACCATCCTCAATTCCCTCTGCAACTTGGTTCTTCCTGGACGCTGGACAAAGACCTAGGTACTAAGAGGACACTGAGCTGGTTAACACTTAAGCCGTCTGCAGATGGCAAAACTAAAAGAGCACTGTAACACATGCCTACTTGGGCTTTGGGAGTCGCAGGCACCCACCCCTAGATGCTACCATGGGGCCAGAGCCCCAGAACACTCATCCCCAGCTCCTGCAACTGCCCATCTGTGTGCTTCCCCTCCCATAAGTGGTTTGAGCATGCAGAGGGTGAACAGACAAGCCACACCCATTACATGTCCTGCAAGGTTGGGGGCAGGGGTATCAGGGAATTCTCCCGTTTCATGAAGACTGAATCTTGAGAATTACCACTGTTCTGTTATTTGATAGGTATGTCACAGGGTAGAAGAGGTTGGGAAATCATGCTTCCAGGAGTCATCACTCAATTTGAGAACAGTTACTACAGAGCTCTGGGAAGAAAAGTAGATTAATTGCTTTGCTTACTTCAAACATTCCTTTTTTGTTCTTTAAACTTGAGTATCTTTACTTTATATCCACCTTAATTCCTTTCCCTACCTGAAGAAGGTGTGGCTTTCAGATAAAGCCATGCCAATCAAAGATTTTTAAATGTGGGGTACTGGGATACTGGACAGGGCTAAGTTGCTAAACTGGGAAGGCCAGAGAAGGTGAGTGAAGTGGGTTAGACTAAGGAAGGGGAGGTTGCCTTCCTTAGTCACACCTGCCAATCACTCAGACTCTGCTAAAAGGGAAGGCCCAGTTGGTACTGTGCTGTCCTCTGCAGGTAGTCACCTGTCCAGGCAGGGACAGCCTTGGCAGCCAGTCATTTCCTGGATGCCAAAGCAGGCAGAGGACACATCTCTGGGCCCCAGGAATAGCAAAGCATTTTACATAATGACTTACTTGTTCTCTGTTTCCCTCTCTCAAAAAAGTAAGATTTAATTTTTCCTTTCCAAGAAAGTTAGTAAAAGGAGAAAAGGAAAAGGAAAATTAGTATTTATAAAATATTGGCATTTGGTTTTAATGTAGGTATTTATTTTAATGGAAACAGCTACCAAGTCCATGTGCCAAGGGGAACTAACTCACCACACTGGAGGGGAGGTGGCAGAAGCGCTCCTCCACCCTGCTCACTTCGGAATCCTACTGTGTCCTAAACCAGGCTGTGTGCTGGGGTGGGGACAGTTTTGCACATGTGCTGCAGAGCCTAACAGCTTATACATCTATAATGCTAAGGACTAGATTTACTAACCTCTAAGGTCCATAAAATCAAATTAGAAGCTCAGTGAAATGTTTTCTGTAGGCATTAAACAAATATTTGTTGAACTGAACTATCTAACAAATGAAGTCATATATTAGAATTAAGTGATAGTATGTAAGGATGCTTTTGCCTTACCTGTCATGTCTCAATACAGGTGTGGGCAACACGCTTGTCAGAAGCCATCCGAATTCAGCCAGAGTGTGCAGCAGAGGGCCATAATCTGTTTTGATTTCACATCCCTGCATGAATAAGCATAAGAGCTCATACTCTAATGGCAGAGGCAACCAACTACACAATTACAACAAAGGGTGATACGTGTTAGGATGAGGGGAGTTCACTTTCATCCGTTGCAGCCTTCCTGGGCTTCATGTTCTGCTCTGCTTCCTTCTAATAATTGAACCAAGTTAGAAACACTGGTAAAGGAGAGAGGTTTCCATCCCGTTGTCCGAAGTTTGGGCCTTCCTTTGGTCTTGTTAGGGCAGTGGTTCCGGAAATTTAATATATGGGGTTGGGAAGCTGGGAATCTGCATTTTATTTTATTTTATTTTAAGAGAGGGTCTCATTCGTCCATCCGGGCTAGGGTGCAGTGGCACAATCATAACTCACTTTAACCTCAATTTTCTGGGCTCAAACTATCCTCGTGCCTCTGCCGCCTGAGGAACTGGGACTACAGGTGCATGACACTATGCCTGGTTACTTCTTAAATTTTTTTGTAGAGATGGGGTCTCACTATGTTGCCCAGGCTGGTCTTGAACTCTCAGGCTCAAGTTATCCTCCCATTTCACCTCCCTAAAGTGCTGGGTTACAGGTGTGAGCCGCTGTGCCAGGCAGAGTCTGCATTGTCACATGAGCTCCTTAGGGGATTTGGATCCAAGAAGTTTCTAGAACACATTTTCAAAAACACTGGTCTAGAGACCAGGAAGTGAGGACAAGAGTGGAACCCTACTGTGTCCTAAATACCACTATCGTGGTATTGAAGATGAGAGGTGCTTGAGTGTGGGGAGTCTTTTCACCACTTTTTACTTAATTTGGAATTGAGTTTTGCTTGGAGCTTTACCTCTTCCCCCAAATCCTTTTTCCCCACTCAGTGGGTTTTCTGGTTTCTTTGAAAATGGGCTATGTCTCTTAACCTGTGTACGGTCAGAAAGGTAAAAGTGTCCCTGAAACAGCCTGTCAGGGAAGGCCTCACACACAAAACAGAATATACCTGAATTCAGTGTGTACACCTCAAGGGCAGTCCATTCAGTGACATCTGAATTCAGGGAGCACAACATCAGCAGCAATGTCATCTCTGATTGTGAAGGACAATGCTGTGTGTACATGTTTGGCCTGGTGAGAGAGAGAACATCTTTTGGATATTTTTGCCTTTGAAAGTCATTCATAAGGTTAAAAAAACCTCAGTCACATTGGTTGATTGGAGACAAAACACTAGGTGAGTGACTGAATTTTTTTATTTCAATCAGTTGCCACAGAATGCTGTAAAGAGAAGCTCAGTGCCAGGAGATGTTTTTTTGGCTTAAAATTTTTGGGAACTTACTGCTACTTATGCATAGTTAATTATTTCTCTATCTTGCAAAAACATTTAACATTGGATAAAGCAAATTACCTTTTCACAAATCTGAAAGAAGTGTGTTCATGCATTTGTGATGAGATTCTAAACACTAAACAAATATGTGTTTAAGGATACCGCATGTGCCAGGCACTGAAGAGCTTTAACATGTAAAATAAAATATGTATAGCCTGGGCAACATGGCGAGACCTTATCTCTACAAAAAATACAAAAAAATTAGCTGAGTATGGTGGTGCATGCCTGTAGTCCCAGCTACCTGGGAGGCTGAGGTTGGAGAATCACCTGAGCCAGGGGAAGTTAAGGCTGCAGTGAACTGTGATGCACTCCAGCCTGGGTGACAGAGTAAGACCCTGTCTCAAAAAACAAAAAACAAAAAACAAAACCCAAACCAAACATATATATATATAATATATATATTATATTTATATATGTAAAGCTAAATTGTCAGAAAACTGCAGCTCACCTCAATAACAGTCCATTGTTCTACTACGATGGCATCATTTCCTTTCCTACTAGAACCTGGATCTCCAGAACCTTCTTCTTCATAGATAAAAAATCCTTCCAAAGATTTAGGCAAATGTTCCCCTGTGAGGAAGAGGATACAATTAAGAAGGGTTGTAAATACTAAGTGGCTCGTAAAACCATCTAAATCCTTAAATAACCCACATAGGAAACTGAAGGAAAAACATTGCAATTAAAAAACATTTGTTTTGGCGGAATCAATAATGTCCTCCTCCTCATGGAAAGTTTTTCTTTCTCCCCAAAGATCAACAGTTTTTTTTTTTTCATTTCACTGAATTAAAATCCAACTATACACATAAAAACTACAATAGCAAAAACAAGATAAAATAGTGTGGCACAGTGAGAAGCGAGTGGAAAATCAATCTAAAAGGCATCTGGAAGTGCTCTTCATTTTGAAATCAAAATTTGGTTGCGGGTCTATCCGTTGTATGCATGTTAATTATACCATTAAGAGAAACAGCATAAAAATGTTAATATTGGAAATTAAAGGCATGATATTAAAATTAATGCTAGGTAAGTTTACTTCAAAAGACCTAAACACAGAACAATTCTTTACCTCATTGATGGGTTAAAAGGGAAAAAAAAGAAAAACAGGGACAGGAAGACCCTAAACAGAAGTCATTGTCAAAAGAATTCCTGCTGGGAAGGAAGTTTTAAGGGAGGGCCTCTTTGACTTTTTCTTGAATAGTTGACAATAACCAGCTGGCCTACACAAACTGATTTTATGGAAGTTCTTTTGTCTCCTATTTTGCTATAGGAGACATTTTTCCCATGCTCATGTGGTGGTTAATTAAACATTTCGGTTTCTGTGCAGCACAATGTCACATTGAAGTTTCCCTGGTTGACAGCTCTCTAAATTCTAAAGGTCTGAAAAGTTTTCAAATGATCTTTTAAGCTTAAAGATAAAAAAGACAAAAGTAATTTTAATGTAATTTTCTGTTTTAATTTTTATTATCAGGCTATAAATTTTAAGAGACAAATCATTATTATTATTATTTTTAAAATTATTATTATACTTTAAGTTCTAGGGTACATGTGCATAACGTGCAGGTTTGTTACATATGTATACTTGTGCCATGTTGGCGTGCTGCACCATCAACTCGTCAGCTCCCATCAACTCGTCATTTACATCAGGTATAACTCCCAATGCAATCCCTCCCCCCTCCCCCCTCCCCATGATAGGCCCCTGTGTGTGATGTTCCCCTTCCTGAGTCCAAGTGATCTATCTCATTGTTCAGTTCCCACCTATGAGTGAGAACATGCAGTGTTTGGTTTTCTGTTCTTGCGATAGTTTGCTGAGAATGATGGTTTCCAGCTACATCCATGACCCTACAAAGGACATAAACTCATCCTTTTTTATGGCTACATAGTATTAAATCATTATTATTATTTTTTGACATCATTCATGGTTACGGCAGAACACCATGAAGAATTTGCATTGTTCAGAGTGGTTCCCAAGAACCCAGTAGGCTGGGCGCAGTGGCTCACTCCTGTAATCCCAACACTTTGGGAGGCCGAGGCAGGCAGATCACCTGAGGTCAGGAGTTCGAGACCAGCCTGACCAACATGGAGAAACCCCATATCTACTGAAAATACAAAATTAGCTGGGCATGGTGGCGCATGCCTGTAATCCTGGCTACTTGGGAGGTAGAGGCAGGAGAATCACTTGAACCTGGGAGGCGGAGATTGCGGTGAGCCGAGATCGTGCCATTGCACGTCAGCCTGGATGACAGAGCAAGACTCCATCTCAAAAACAAAAGAAAACAAAAAGAAAAATGAAAAACAAACAAAAAAACCAGTAAAGTTTAGTTTCCTAGTTCAAATTGGTTTTCTAATTACAGTATATATTTCATTTCCTTTAAATGTACTTATTTACCATCACACCAAAGTGACCAGTGGAATCAAATTTGTTTCTGATTGAAAGTTTAGGGTACTAAGAAATACAAAAAATAGCCGGGCGAGGTGGCGGGCGCCTGTAGTCCCAGCTACTCGGGAGGCTGAGGCCGGCTTGAGCTTGGGAGGCAGAGGTTGCAGTGAGCCAAGATCACAGCACTGCACTCCAGCCTGGGCTACGGAGAGAGACTCTAAAAAAAAAAAAAAAAAAAAAAAAAAAGAAAGTTTAGGGCATCAATAGATCATCTTTACAATTGTACATGCCCCAAGTTCCTTTTTAGAGGTATATGTTTTAAAATTAGTTGTATGCTGTGATAATTACACAGTTAATTATAATCTCCTCCTTTCTTACTTTGGGATTATATAATGTGAAAACTCTGGGCTTTGTGGCTCCAGGTCTGTTTTCTTGCTCTCAGTATTTGAAGACACTAGCACAGCCCTACCTTGCTTTATTGTGCTTTGCTTTACTGTGTTTTGCAGATATTGGTTTTTTTTTTCCAATTGAAGGTTTGTGGCAATCCTGCATTGAGCAAGTCTATTAGTGCCATTTTTCCAAAGGTGTGTACTCACTTCATGTCTTGGTGTCACATTTTAATAATTCTTGCAATATTTCAATGTTTTTCATTATTATTCTGTCTGTTATGGTGGTCTGTGATCAATGATCTTTGATGTTACTATTATAATTGTTTTGGGCCACCGGGAACCATGCCCATATAAAATGGCGAATTTAATTGATAAATGTTGTGGGAGTTCTGACTGCTCCACTGACTGGCCCTCCCCCCATCTCTGTCCCTCTCCTTGAGCCCCCTATTCCCTGAAATTAGGCCAATGAATAACTCTGAAACAGCCTCTAGGTGTTCAAGTGAAAAGAAGAGTCACAAGTTTCTTATTTTAAATCGAAAGCTGGGAATCATTATTAAGCTTAGTGAGGAAGACATGTCAAAGCTGAGACAGGCAGTGAAGTAGGCCTCTTGTGTCAGTTAGCCAAGTTGTGAATGTAAGGGAAAAGTTCTTGAAGGAAAATAAAAGTGAATGAATGATAAGAAAGCAAAACAGAATTCTTGATGATATGGAGACAGTTTTAATGGTTTGGATAGAAGATCAAACCAGCCACAAGCAGTCCCTTAAGCCAAAGTCTAATCCAGAGCAAGATCCTAACTCTATTCCATTCTATGAAGGCTGAGAGAGGTGAGGAAGCTGTGGAAGAAAAGTTGGAAGCCAACAGAGGTTGGTTCATAAAGTTTAAGGAAAGAAGCTGTCTCTATAACATAAAATTGCAAGGCGAAGGAGCAAGTGCTGATGTGGAAGCTACAGCAAGTTATCTAGAAGATCCAGCTAAGAGAATAGATAAAGGTGGCTACACAAAATTACAGATTTTTATTTATTTATTATTTATTTATTTATTTTGAGACAGGGTCTCTTTCACTCAGGCTGGGGTATGGTAGCGCGATCTTGGCTCACTGCAACCTCTACCTCCCCAGGCTCAAGCGATTCTCCCGCCTCAGTGTTCCAAGTAGCTGAGATTACAGGTACATGCCACCACACCCAGCTAATTTTTGTTTTTTTAGTAGAGATGGGGTTTCACCATGTTAGCCAGGCTGGTCTCGAACTCCGGATCTCAAATTATCCACCTGCCTCAGTCTCCCAAAGTGTTGGGATTACAGGTGTGAGCCACCGTGCCCGGCCTAAAACTACAGATTTTCAATGTCAGTAAAACAACCTTATAGTGGAAGATGTCATCCGGGACTTTCATTGCTAGACAGGGGGAGTCAATGCCGGGCTTCAAAGCTTCATAGGACAGGTTAACTCTCTTGTTAGGGACTAATGCAGCTGGTGACTTTAAGTTGAAGCCAATGCTTATTTACTACTCTAAAAATCCTAGGGCCCTTAAGAATTACGCTAAATCTACTCTGCCTGTGATCTAGACATGGAAAACAAAGCCTGGATGACAGCACATCTGTTTATAGTATGGTTTACTGAATATTTTAAGCCCACTATTCAGACCTACTGCTCGGAAAAAAAGATACCTTTCAAAATATTATGCTTATTGACAACGTGCTTGATCACCTAAGAGCTCTGATCAAGATATACAAGAAGATTAATGTTTTCTTTTCTTTTCTTTTTTTTTGAAAACGTAGACTTTTAATAACTGCTTTTATCACCAGGTTAAGCCATGCAGTTATGAAGTAGTTAGAAATTTCTGAAAGGGTGCTATAGTTAAAAGAAAAAAAAGCTGATTCTTACACATATATTATCTAGCACTTCATGGGGACACTACTGTTCAAAAGGCCCTGACCAAATAACTCCCAAATGAAACACTCAACCCAAGGTTGTTTTCAGCCCACTGCTAACGAAGCTGGGTGCAGAATGCAAAGCCTCTAAAAGGAGAGGACACAAAATCAGATGAGTAGGGGCCATTGGCAATGCTCAGAGCCAGCCAGACTCCAAACAGGAAGTCTGGTTTTTTTCTGGGACACTCTACTTGAATTATTGTTTAATTAGTCAACCATAGATCTTCAAAAGAGACCAATTAGTTAACATGATAAAAAGGTTACTGCATTCTTTGGACTAGGTGTCATAATTATAGTTAGCAAATTCTGACAGTTTTAATGAAAATAGCCTCCACCATTTTGCAAGTATGAAGATAACTTATTTATCCACAGGGCTTTTAATGTCTGCTGAACAGCAATACATGACTGATAAGCTATAAATGACACTGTTTTATGATAGAAAAATACTAGTTTTTTCCATTTGTTATTTTAATAGGCATTCACTGTTTGAGTCAAGGTTAGGCTTGTTAAGTGATTAAAAGCAATTTTATTACAGCAGCATTGTACTTATTTTATTCTAAAAGAATAAAATTCATAAACAGAAACAGCTTTTATATTTGTTTGCAACCTGCAAAATTGAGTTATTTTGCTGATATAAAACACTAAGAACTCACTTGAGGACCATGCCACCTTCTGAAAAGGCCACACACCTACTTCTTAAATGGGTTACAGTTACAGTGTGTCCCACACTCGTCCAGAGCATAATAAGTGAGCAACTGACTGCTCTTGACTGTCCCTTCCCCAGCAATAGCACTGATTGTGTTGGGGACAGCCACAGAGCAAGGCTGCACAGCCAGATGGAGGAGACTTTATTTAAAGGCAAAATACCCAAATGGCTCT